GCTGAGTATATGTGCTATTAAACTTCGTTGAGAACTTTATTCATCTGTCAAAGGGGTCAGGTGTTTATGTCGATACTCAAGATCATGATAAAACAGCTATTTTATGTCGAGATCACAAGAAAAAAGCTTTTGTTATGTTAAGATCACAAGAAAATAATAAGTATCTTCTTAGTGCTTCCATAGAAAGCAGTGTTGGGTGTTTGTAAGATAGCGCTTGAGCCAATTAAGTCGCCTGGTCTATCTCTCGATGCGTCTGATAAAACCGGTTGCCCTGCACAGAGGCGTTCTTCTAGTCAGAGCTCTTATGTCAGTCTTCCCAGAAAGTGCTGACTTGGTCCTGTAAATCGATCCGTCCAAACATTGAGTCTTCCTGGGCGTTTTGCCCTGAGTGAGAGAACATGAAGTGAAGACATCCAAAACCACTATGAATGTCTAACACATTTGAATTGAAACCTGCAATTGTCACCTTAAAGAGCCATTTCTACCTGATTTAACCAATAAAAATTTATTTTGTTGATATATATTAACATACAGTATGTAGCTTTATACAGTGATGTTAAATAATTTTTACTTGAATAAAACGAGTTAATTTAGATGTTATCATTTTTAGGTTACTATTTCAGTGTATAGTGACTGTCTGCTGTTGTATATAAACAATTTCTGTTGAAACTTGTATGTATTTAAAATATATATACTTTGAATGTAATATCGAATAACACTTAAAATTATAATAAAGTACTTTACATGCTTTAGTACTTAATATACTTATGTTAGTCTACACATCAAAATAAGTGTACTTTTTTAAAGCACGACAAAAAAATTATTACATAATGATTCAAAATGTATTTTAAAGTAATCCTTTTAATGTGACATTATTACAAAAGTGTTCTTTTTAAAGTTGCACTTGTGTTATGAAACAGTCATGAAATTGTACTCTTTTTAAGTACACTTAAGTGACCTTTTATTTCATTAATATAATCTGCAAGTACAGTTTTTAAAATAAAATGTAAGAAGTACACAACTAGTACACATTCAATACAATTAAGCGCACTTCATTTTCACAGTAGGCCCCTTGCGGCAACACTGAAAATGCAGCATGAAGGCCTACTTTGAGCATGAGTGCATATTTGTAACACAACAGTGTGTGTGTGGGGTGGGGGTTGTGGTTGTGTAGCTAAAACCATTTGCGCTCACATACTCTCATAGAGTAGGTTCTGGGGGTTGGGAGACACTTGGCTGTCCAAGAACACAGCGCTGCCAATATTGGCTGTCTATTCCATCATGATGTCACTTCTCTAACAGGTGTTTCAGGCAAGATTGAGCAGTACTGTTAAAATTATGTTTTACTGGGGGTCTTCTCTGTGTCAGTGTTTTTCTACCTCATTAACTGGCCTCTGTAAACACCATTTATTGCCTCACGTTTATCTGATGTCCTGTTTGTTTGGCTTGAACTCTTTGGGTTTACGAGAGGCCAAGGTTAAAAACCTTGCAGACTCAGCACACAATCGCACTGTTGACATGAAGGACACGCATATAGGCTACACATTAAACACAGCCTGGGGCTAGAACTGAGGCTGTTGATTTAGCCAGTGATGTAGATTACCATGCATTTAATTTATGGTGTAAAGAACAAAACACGAGGAACAGGTAAAATGCTCAAAACAGGGAAACCTATAAACACGGAACAGAACTGAAACGCACCAAGAAACTGCCTAAACGGGATGACACTAGACCCTGAACAAGGGAAACACATGGACTTAAATACACCTGGGATACAATCAATAAAGCTAATTAACAGACAAAACTACAAACTGACTACAAACTAAACAGGACCCAACCAGAAACATGAAACAGTCTCAAGCGGGGGTTGTGACAACTTGTAAGTTTAAATGTGAACTAATTTAATACTGTTTTCTTTTGTTAAACTTCTTTTTTTGTACAGTAGTATACTTTTATAAACAAAAAATATGGCAAATTTACAAGTATAGGCTACTAGAACTTTGATTTTAGTATCCATAACATAAAGTACTTGGGAAATATATTTGAACTTCACTTAAAGGGGTGATATAATGCCCTTTTCACAAGATGTAAAATACGTCTTTTAATGTCCCCAGATGTATCTGAAGTTTTAGCTCAAAAAACTGCACAGATATTTGTATATAGCATGTTAAAGTTGTCACTTTTTGAGGGTTAACAAAAAAAGCACCGTTTTTATGTCTGTCCCTTTAAATGCAAATGAGCTGCTGCTCCCGGCACATGGGGCGGAGCTACAACAGCTTGTGTCGTTTTGCCTCACAGACATGCACTGAAAAGTTTTATGTTCAAACCAGAGTCAGACAATGATGGAGAGACTCAAGAAGAAGTGACATGTAGAATGCAACTGGACATTTCTGAATGGTTAGTTGAAGAATTTATGCAGCTGATGTGGAGTTAACTATCTTCTAGTCATTGATTAGCATATTCTGTCTTGATAATCTATAAATCGTGTTCTGGGGGCGGGGTTTATGTAAATTTTAGGGTTAGTGATGTCACTAACCCGGGAGGAATGTCATATAGTCCCTACCAGCCGTTTGTTGTAGTCCTTAAAAAACGATTTCTTTAAAAGCAAATATCTTCATTTGCTTTGAACTTTGAGCGTTGGAACTTTGCAGATGTTGTTTATGCTCAAACAGCAACATTACACACTAACTAAAGTTAGGAACCACCCGTTTAAGTTTAATGAACTTTTGTAATGAATGGCATTCCCTGATTTAAAGTGATAGTTCATCCAAAAATGAAAATTCTGTCTTCATCAAACCTGTATGAATTTCTTTCTTCTGCTGAACAGAAAAGAAGATATTTTGAAGAATGTCAGTAGGCTAACCAAACAGTTGATAGTATTCCATAGTATTTTTTTTCCCCCATACTATGGAAGTCAATGGGGCCCATCAACTGTTTGGCTACCCATATTCTTCAAAATCGTCTTTTGTGTTCAACAGAGAGAAAAAAAAAATCATACAGGTTTGGAACAACTTGAGGGTGAATAAATGATGACAGAATTTTCATTTTTGGGTGAACTATCCCTTTAAGCGTCCAAAAAAGCGATATGGTCACGTTATCATAATCAACCAAAAAATTTGGAATATTGTGATTATAAATGTTTGTCTCACTGACTTCAGATACTTACTATTACATAAGTAGTCAGTTGTATGTCATCCCCTTTATGTAGACAGCATGCACAGACACACTTATGAAGTATTTTAGGGTGCTACATTATTTGATCTTATGTCCTCAGTGCCAGAAGTGTCATGGAGAAGCCATTACATCATGGAAATAGGTGGAGGTTCACATTTAGAGCCTGACATCACTGTGGCTCGAGGTAGAAGGTTAATGTTGTCTTCCTCCACACAAAGCATCTGTTCTTCTGTGTTGTACTGAAATAACGTTTGTATTTACATAACATAAAACTGATAGATATATAATATAATTAATATAATATAATGCCACTGTTCAGTCATATTTATGGGACTAAAGTCTCATTTGCCAGACGACTTCCCCCAAAGAGTGCCAACTGTACTGTGTGCATTACGGCTCAAATCGCAAATGGTGAAAGCTGAACCCTGGTGAAATCATAGCTGTGTGAATGTTTAATCCAGCTCATAATTAATAAATTCACACAAGCAGGTTTATGGCAACAGAGGCGCAAGACCACATATTCCCTTTGATATATTATTAAGTTCCTTTAATTACTACAACCGTCCGGCCAAGGCATTGCCAAATTTACCTTTTAAAGTAGGTCAAATGTCTGATTCCACCATATAAATATCATATGTATTTTAAAGAGCAGAAACTGAGGATGTCATACCGTGTTGAACATCTCTAGTGCTCTTTTAAGATGAAAGCAGATCGGGTCACTGCAGCAATTACATTCATCAGAGCTGTTGCAGCATTCCAGTCAGATGATGTGCTCTGCTTTGAGAAATAACGTTTAGGATGGGGGATTTGAGGTTGTTTGGGGAATTCGGGGACAACTGATGAGCTGATGTTTTGACTGGTTGGTTTTGCTGAAAGTCAACAAACCGTCCGCTCTTGATAATCAAGGTGTCTCAGTGTTACAACTCGCCTAACCAGAGCTGAGGCTTGTGGGAAAGGACACTGTAGCCACATTCAATGGGTACGTTCAGAATAGTATACTACAGTACCACTCTATATTTCTCTATGTACTACAGAATACTGTATCCCACAACGCACTCAACCTTTTATTTTCAATGTGACGAATGAACCACAGTTTTTATCATCTCCTTTTTGGGCAGTTCTGTTATTGTGAATTATACCTATAATTAACTATAATATAATAAGGGATAAAAACTATCATTTGGGATGTGCTGGAGTAGAGTTTACAGAGTGCTTGACTCTTGCATTATCACCTCTTGATGGAAATAAATGTTGTGATGTTATTTCCATCAAGAGGTGCATTCATTTTTGGTCAAGATCTTGTATTGGCAATGCAAGAGGTCCAGCACTCTGTGAAGTCTCCTCCAGCACATCCTAAAGACTTTCAATGAATGTAAGGTCTGGACTCAGAGGTGCCAATTCATGTGTGAAAATGATTCTTCATGATCCCTCACAACCATTCTTTCACAATCTGAGCCTGATTAATCTTGACTTTGTCATCCTGGAATATGGCCATGATGTGTCTTCCTTACATGGTTGTTTAAGAAATGAAAAGCAAATATGACCCATAATACTGTTTAAATGCTTATCATGTGTATGATTTGGCATGTTATTTTTTTTAAAATAGTAAGCCATATACAATATTCAGTATAACTGAGCAGCATGTAGTTTGCAGTACACTAGTACTTCATTGCCTTGGCCTCAGTGGAAAAGGAATGCTCTGGGAAAGCTTGGGTTGAACTCAGCACATGTGATAAATATTAGTGATTCTTTGTGTCGACAAAGAACTCTTTCTAGATGTAAAGAACTTATAAAAAATATCTTGTGTGTGCTGTTGTGTACCACAGCTGGAGTGTGGAGGACTGGGGTGTGTGCAGCCGCAGCTGTGGATCTGGAGAGCAGATCAGACAGGTGCGCTGTCTTCAGAAAACAGGCCCTGATCAGGTGAACACAGTGACTGATGACCAGTGTGCACAACCACCGCTGTCTCGCAGACAGACCTGCAACACACACACCTGCCCACCGGTCTGGAGCACTGGACCCTGGTCTCAGGTTAGTGATCACTCACAACTCTGTGGCAATCAACAATGCAACACACTGCATGTCTACATAGGCAACAACGTTCCTATTTAAAGTGACAAATGCTCTACATAACAAAAATTTGCTAAGCTAATGGTAAATATTGTGTGAAATATTAAAGAATTTTCTTCAAATTAAACCTATTATTTTCAGGGGCAGTTTTACCCGAAGACAGTTTTGAGTTGTCAAAAATACTGGTTAACCTAGGATTTGTTCTTGTAGTTGTGTGACTATTTCTCATTTAGGGTCATGAGCATGCCTGCAAAGTTTCGATGCTCTGTGACGTGGAGTGTGTGTACGGAGTATACAAATATGGTGTGTTTATTACAGTCTCGTATTATCGTTCTCGATAATCTCGATCTGCGTCACGCATCATATTTGGATTTTACTATACACGCAACCCCTGACAGAACACAAGACCCAAAAGACAAGATTTATCGGCGAATATTAACATGGATATCCCCGCTGTCCACCTGATCACTCCCTCGAGGATTGAGGAGGACTGAGTATGTTGAGTAGGTGCTGGTGCAGTGTGACTCACCTTTTCCCATCAGCCTCGCTGACAAGGAAAACGCCAGACCCATTTGCAACGGCACCATGAAGATCGAGCCAGCTGTTTTTGTCCCAGAACCCGAGCCCAACACAGAGTCTGTACAGATGTGCAAGCCGGCAAAAACGTGCATCACGGAGGGCATTTGAGCCGCGTAATCGCTGGTTGAGCCGAGATCCAAGTTGTCTTCTTTGTCCAACACCAAGTCTTCGTCGTCCTGGGCTTCTCGGTCATCAGCTCCACCTTGGCCTGTGGATCCCTCATCTCCATCTCTAGCCTTTGGGCCTCAGACTCCACCTAGGCCCTCCGGCCTGTCGGCTCCACCTTGGTTTCGACGCTCCCTCGGCTCCATCTTGGACTGCCTTCCCTCGGGCACTGCCGGGCTCCCTCGTCCCTCTGGCTCCACCTTGGTCCATTATCACTCTGGCTCCGCCTTAGACTTTCGAGTAAGCAGTTGCACCTCGACCATCCACACCTCTGGCTCCGGCGGGCTCCTCCTTCCCTCCAGTTCCACCATTGTCATCACTCCCACTGTTCCTGCCCTGGTCTGCCAAGCCCACGCCTCCACATCGGTCATGCCCGCCTGCAGCTCCACCGTGGCCATATGTCGTCCTGGGTCTTCGGCTCTTCAGCTCTGCCTGGGTCTTCACCTCAGTCAGTTGTCTCCCTGGTTCTGCCCAGCCTGTCTACCAAGGCTCCACCATGGCTCTCCCCTTCATCGGCTCCTCCATGGACCTTCATCCTGTCATGGCTGTGGGTCCTCCTGCTCCACCTGCCTCTGCTCTGGTTCCTTCTGTCTCCGCCCTGGATCCTCCAACCACAGTCTCCTCTCTGGTCCTTTCTGCCTGCTATTCATCCTCCTACAGAGCCCTCTTTCACCCTCTTAGGTTGGACTATGGTTACAGCGCAAGGATGCGCTTTCTTTGGGGGGGGGACTCTTCCTGGTTTTTATTAGTCTCTTATTAAAGTCTTATATTATTATTTATTCTTGACACTCTGAAGGTATAAACATGTATACATTTTGCAGATGCTTTTATTAGAAGTGTTTTAGAAGTTGAAGATCATGCATGTGAATTTTGCTAAGAATCGGGCCCATGATCCTGGCATTGCTAGCCCCATGCTCTACTATTTGAGCTTCAAGAAGTTGTTGTTTTTCCCTAATTTAAAAGTTTTACAAATGAATAAGAGTTTTTAACACCTTATTCAATAACACCTTTTTCAGAGTTTTAAATGAAAGACTCCAGTCCCTATCAGTAGCCTAATAAAAAGACATAAAAGTGGGTTACCTCATAAGGGCCAACTGGCTTGCTGTGAATAGTGCATTTTGACAATTGCATCCGTAACTGAACACTTTAACTTTGTGCAATGCTGCATCACCGGCCAGCAGAACATAAAAAAACACCTTTAATTCTACAGTTAAAACTTCACCGAGGAACATTGTCTTACATTACGGATGGATCTTTTTCCCAGTGTTCTCGTAAATGTGGCAAGGGAGTGATGAAGAGAGCGGTGGCGTGTGTGAGCAGTGACTCCAGTTCTTACACCCGCGTGCTGCCGGACGCTTCGTGTGTCGCTCTACCCAAACCCAGCAGCCAAGAGACCTGCATGATCAAACGCTGCCACAAACAACGCAAGGCCCAGTGGTTCGTCTCCACCTGGCAAACGGTAAAACCCTCAGCAGGAGACTTGCACCGCATTGTGATAGAGTGGGGTGTTGTGGAGTAGCGATAAAGCCTACATTTAAAGTAGTAACCAAATGGTTTTAAGTTCAAACCCCAGGGGTGATGCATGAACTTTTACCATTATGAGGCAGGCATTTAAAGGAATGGTTCACTTAGAGTGACATTTTCATTATTTACTTACCCTCATGTCTGTTTTTTCTGATATATTAATTATGACAGAATAACATTTCGGGGTGATCTGTTCCTTTAACCCTGCTCTGCTCCAAATATATTGTCCTTGTAATAAGAGTACTTTAAGTCCCTTTTGCCAAAGCATCTGATAACCCTTGTGAAAAAAATACACTTTATCAAACTTTATAAAAAAAAAGTACTTTATATACAATAAAAACAATATAAAGGAATATACTTAAATGTGAACTGAATGTAATGTTTTCGGACACTTAAATGAATGTTAATTGCAATCAAATTAATGTGTATTGTTGAAAATTATATTTTAAATTTGTATTTATTGAAGGGTAAAACTATTTTACAGTGTCTTTGTTACAACATTACGTGTTTTTACTATGGAAATTTTACTAGGTAACCGTAAACCAAACCCTAACCCTATAATCAGTACACTGAAAAATCTATTTTAGTAAACACAAATTTATTTACTGTGTTTATCCAATTGATTTGTCCAATGTAAATGAAATGACAAAAAATAAAACTAATAATAAACCCTGTGAAAAAAATTAACAAAATATTGATTTAAGGTTTGTGTAAATGAATTGATATTACTCGGTACATAAATCTATAATTCCAATGTAACTAATGTGTCTCTGTTACAGTGATTATTCATGTTAATTATACATATAATATAAGTATTGAGTAAAATAATTACCTGGGTTTGGTTTAGGGTTATTTATTTGCATATAATTAAATGCCTAATTTAAATGTATTACTATAATAAAGTGTTACCAAAAGATTATTTAAACATGATTTACAATGTAGTTCAAGTAAAATTTGTAATTTTAAAAACTTTTAAGTGTACTTAAGTGTGTTTATATATATATATATATATATATATATATACTATTATTTTTTTTATTTTTTTTTACTACAAGTGCACATTCAGTACAATTAAGCACACTTCCTTTTCACAAGGAAAAGGACAGGTTACTGCTTCAGTCTCTTTTATAATGCACAGACGTGCGTTTGGGATGAATGAGGCCTGTGATATTCTCTCTTTCTCTCTGCAGTGTTCAGTGTCATGTGGAAAGGGGCTTCAGCTGCGTGTCGTGAAGTGCACAGAGAAGGATGTGGCAGGAAAATATAGAGAACTGTCACCCAAAAAGTGTCAGAATGTGCCCAAACCCTCCATGGAGCTCCAGAGAACCTGCGTCCTGCCAGACTGTCCCGTCCTCTCTCCTCACAGCAGACCAGACTGGTACTCCTCACCGTGGTCTCAGGCAGGTCTTCAGCCACACATCATGAGCTCAGCAGGAAGAGTAGGATGCTTGATTTTGATCTTGGCATGCCGTGTTTTGTGTTTGTCTGCAGTGTACGGTGTCGTGTGGTGGAGGGGTTCAGGTGCGCTCAGTGCAGTGTCTTGTTCATGGGCGTCCCTCCTCTGGGTGTGTCCTGCAGATGAAGCCAGTGATGTCCCAGGCCTGTAACACTGCATTCTGCCCCCAGCCAGAGAAGAAAGGTCTGTCATGAGCTATGATATAATTTGAGTTATTATGCATCTTAGTGAATTATTATAATAATTGATTAATATCAGGATAATTTTTGTAGTTAATGTGATTAAAAATGTTTAATTTACTGATTATATATATGAAGAGTTTGGTTCCAAAACGCGATAAACGCCATTTTTAAAAAAAATTAGTTACTGCAAAAATCAGTATTGTATCTGGTTGGTATTGAAAAGTCAATGTTTAATTTTAAGTAAAATGCGATATCCGCCGTGTTATTCTGTCATGTTTTCTCCCTTTCTTTCCAAACCGCGACAAACGCCAGTCTCCCTTCTCTGCAGAATGCGATATATCCGCTCTCAACCAATCACAACGCACCATTCCACGCAATGCAAACAGTAACGGCAGCGCCTTAAATACACCCGGCTTCCTAGTTCCCTATCAACTTCGACATTACGAATGTCGTATATGGGAACTCCTCTCATCCTTCACTTCCGCTGAAATCTTATAGGCTAACGCCAGCAGAGCTGGCCAGTTGACGCGAATATGCAAATACTGACACCTCGTAGCAGTATATATGCAAGTGAGCGCCAATTCCTTCTTTAGAATCTCTCTCTTCACGCTCAAATCGTGTGCTAGAAAGCTGATACTACTCTACAAACTTTGGATCATTTCGCTGTCGTTGAAGGTGCGCCGGAGATACCTGAACTGTCTCCAGCATCCGATGGCGACCGTTTGCAACCTATGCTCGGGCCCCATAGTGCCCCCAGACATGCACCTGTTTTGCGTCGCGTGCATGGGGCTGGCCCACGCTGAGTCAGCCCTCAGGGATGGAGGGTCCTGCGATCTCTGTGCGGACATGTCCCTCCGAGCCCTCAAGGCCAGGCGGGATGAAGCTCGCGCTGCTGCGGGGATTGGGCCTGCTGCCGCCTCCGTGCTGCTGGCAGGCCCCCCCAGCCGTGGAGTCGAGGTTCGACCCCCGGTGAGTTTCCCTGACCCTTCCTTTCAACCCCCTCGCGAGGTCGCTGACTTCGTGTCCTTCGGGGCGAGTGAGGAGGAAGACTCTATGTCCTTGTCGGCCTCCGAGAACGACTGGGGTGCGGAGCAGGCCGCTCCTCTGGCAACCACGGAGCAAGAGACCCCGGCGGACCTGCAGGAAGAGCTCTTCCGTATCCTCTCGAAGGCCGTCGAGGAATTGTATTTATCGTGGAAAGCCCCCGATGAGCCATCAAAGAGCAAGCTGGATACGTGGTTCCTCCAATCGAGCCGCCGTCAGGCCGCTTCGAGAAGAGGAACACCGTTCTTTCCCGACGTGCATGAGCACGTGGTGAAGTCGTGGGCGGCTCCGCAATCGGCGCGCACCCTCACTTCAACCCAGGCCATGTTTGCCCCCGTGGACGAGGCGGGAGACCATGGCTACCTCCGCATCCCCCCTGTCGAGGAGACCGTCGCCGCACATCTCTGCCCATCGGCTCCCGCCCTGGGCTCGGACCGCAGCCTGCCGTCCCGAGCTTGCAGGTTTACGGCTCACCAGGCTAACAAGGCCTACGGCGCCGCGGGGGAGGCGGTTTCTGCACTACACGCCATGGCCGTTCTTCAGGTGCTGCAGGCCAAGCAGTTGAAGTCTCTGGATGGCGCCGCCTCTGTCGACGCTGACGCCATCCGGGATCTCCGTTCGGCCACGGACCTCGCGCTCCTGGCCACGAAGCGCTCGGCCCAGGCGATTGGCCGTTCGATGGGGTATCTGGTGATCCTCCACAGACACCTGTGGCTCACCCTATCGGACGTGCAGGAGGCGGACAGGAAGACGCTGTTAAATGCACCCATCTCCCCTGCAGGCCTGTTCGGAGACGCAGTGGAAAAGGTAACCGAGCGATACTCCGAGACGCAGAAAAAGGCGAAGGCGATGAGTCACGTGATTCCTCGGAGGGCGCCGATGCCTCCGCCGCCGCAGCCCCACTCTCGTAGGCCGAAGCGGCCAGTGGCATGGAGCGGGAAACAGGAGGCCGGCTCAGAGGAGCCCGCGCAGGAAGCCCACCGCGTCCCCGGCGAGGCCCAAGCAGTCGTCCTGACCGCTCGGGCAAGAAGGAGAGGAGAGCGCCAGGATGGCCCCGCGTCCAAGCGACGCGCTCGAGAGCACGTGGTCCCTCAGCGTTCTGCGAGCGACGCGTGCAGTTATGTTGTGAATGTTGTGTGTTCAAAAATAAAGCAAATTACTTCTTCACAAACAGAGCTTTTTTCTCCTCTTGCACCACACACTGTGTTACCCGCCCTGCCCTCGAGCAGCGCAGAGTCACGGTCATTAACTATAAAGGCACCTCACGGGAAGCGCGAGGTGTCTATTTCCAGCCCTCACATAGCGGCGATGACCGCAGGTTTAGTTCAGCCCACTCTCAGTCGTTTCCAGACAGCGTGGGAAGCTATTCCGGGCATTTCGCCGTGGGTATTGAACGTAATTCAGCGCGGGTACACACTTCAGTTCAAACGCAGACCTCCCCGCTTTCGCGGCGTAATTCAGTCATTAACTTTGCCCCAAAGTGCACACATACTGAGACAAGAAGTGTGCAGCCTGCTCGAGAAGAAAACGATAGAACCCGTCCCCCCGAGCGAGCGGGAGAGCGGGTTCTACAGCCCCTACTTCGTAGTGCCGAAGAAGGGAGGGGGTCTCCGCCCTATACTGGATCTGAGACCCGTCAACAGAGCGCTTCACAAGCGCGCCTTCAGGATGACCACACTGAAGCAAATCCTGGCGCAAATTCGCCCCGGGGATTGGTTCGCTTCGGTGGATTTAAAGGACGCTTACTTTCATATTCAGATAGTAAGGCATCACAGGCGTTTCCTAAAGTTCGGGTTCGAGAATTCAGTGTACCAATACACGGTGCTTCCCTTTGGGCTAGCTCTCGCTCCTCGAACGTTTTCAAAATGCATGGACGCGGCACTTTCACCCCTCAGATCGAGCGGGATGCTCGTTTTGAATTATCTGGACGACTGGCTTGTTCGCGCGCAGTCGAAAGAAACGCTGGTCAGCCATGTGGAAGTCCTCCTTCGTCACTTGGAGATGGTCGGTTTGAAGGTGAACTTCCAGAAAAGTGTGCTCACACCGAGTCAGACTTCCTCTTTCCTGGGAATATGCTTGGATTCGGTGAGAATGAGAGCGCGTCTCTCCCCCGAGCGAGCGGAGGCTCTTCTCTCGGTCGCTTCAGACCAGGCAGGCTCGTCCCTCTGAAGGAATTTCAGAGACTATTGGGACGGATGGCAGCGGCTTCTTCAGTGTGTCATCTGGGGCTGCTGCATATGAGACCGCTTCAACACTGGCTGAAAACGCGCGTTCCCCCGAGTGCGTGGTATTCAGGCCACAAGCGCATCATGGTCACCCGCGGATGCGCCCGCGCCCTGGCCCCGTGGAAGAACCCCGAACAAGCGAGCGGAACGATCTGGCATCACAGCCCCGGACTGTGGAGCCTTCATGTGTGGCCGCTGCAGGGTCGCTGAGCGGGCGGGATGCGCTACATGCGCGAGTTTTGAATACCATCGCGGAAGCGAGAGCCCTGTCCACCAGGCTCCTGTACGCTCTGAAGTGGGGTGTTTTCTCAAAATGGTGTCAGGATGACGATATAGACCCAGCGAACTGCTCTGTGTCGGTTATTCTGCGCTTTCTTCAGCACAGGATGGATGAAGGGAGCCTTCCATCCACTCTGAAGGTATACGTGGCCGCTATTGCAGCGTTTCACCCCGTGTTGATGGACAGTCTATCGGCAGGCATGCGTCGGTGACTCGGTTCCTCAGGGGAGCTAGGAGATTACGCCCTGCACGGCCGCCTTCGGTGCCGCCGTGGGATTTAGCTTTGGTCTTGGAAGCATTGTCACGACCGCCGTTTGAGCCCTTAGCTTCTATTGCCATTAAGGAGCTTTCGGTCAAAATGGCGCTGCTTCTCGCTCTCGCTTCGGCGAAGCGGGTTGGGGATTTACAGGCTTTCTCTGTAAGTGAGGATTGTATTCGCTTTGGGCCGGGAAACTGTAATGTAACTCTCAGACCGAGGCCGGGCTATGTCCCTAAATCGCTCAATACCCCGTTCAGAGCGCAGATAGTTCTCTGCCGTCACTGTCTGCTGAGCCATCAACCTCCCAGGGTTCGGATGCTCAGAGTGCTATTTGCCCAGTCAGAGCACTTCGGGAATACATTTCTCGTTCGGCTGCTTTTCGGAAATCGGACCAGCTGTTTGTGTGCTTTGGTGGGTGCAACAAAGGACGGGGAGTCTCTAAACAGAGGCTTGCTCACTGGATTGTGGACGCTATTGTTTTGGCTTATGATCGCCTGGGGCAGGATTGCCCCCTTAACGTCAAGGCTCATTCGACTAGGGCGGTTGCCTCCTCGTGGGCTTGGACTAAGGGGATGTCTATTCAGGATTTATGTCTTGCGGCTGGCTGGTCTTCTCAGAACACGTTTGCCAGGTTTTATAAGTTGGATTTGCCCTCTGTAGCGTCTCGAGTGCTTTCGGTGAGTTCATTGTGTACACAGCATTGAGAGAGCTGCTCTGCGCTTTGCTCATGAGTTGTTCTGTGCTTTTGTGTATTTTTAATGTTGCCACCGCTATGCGTTGGCCTTCTCTTACTGTTGTTGTTGCCCTGTTGTTCTTCAGTGCAAACTTTCCCCGGTTATACTGCTCGGGATATGCAAATTCTGGCAGTGTTTTGTAAGCTTGTGATAGGTCCCTTTGGGCCTATCAGAGGTTAGTGGTTCGCTATTGGCCAATCTCAGCCTATCGGAAGCTTGCATGCTGGGAGGGCGGTTTTGTGGTATTGGATCTGTGTCAGTGGTTTGTTTTGGCTACCACGGCGGGATTCTATACTGTTCCCATATACGACATTCGTAATGTCGAAGTTCCGTAGCCTTGATAGGGAACGTCTCCGGTTACTTACGTAACCTCGGTTCCCTGAGAGGCAAGGAACGAGACATTACGCTAGCCGCCGTGTTCGCTATTGATTTTAGCGTTTTGTTCGATTCTAAAGAAGGAATTGGCGCTCACTTGCATATATACTGCTACGAGGTGTCAGTATTTGCATATTCGCGTCAATTGGCCAGCTCTGCTGGCGTTAGCCTATAAGATTTCAGTGGAAGTGAAGGATGAGAGGAGTTCCCATATACGACATTCGTAATGTCTCGTTCCTTGCCTCTCAGGGAACCGAGGTTACGTAAGTAACCGGAGACGTTTTTCTTATCTATTTTGTACTTTTCGATCAACAAACAAACAAAAAATGAATAATTTTGACGGCATTGATGAACCTGTGGTTGTTTCTGCGGTGGGTAAGAAACGTAAGGCATCGAAATCGAATCATTTACGTGAGGAGATTAAGAAGATGAGGCACTCAGGAGGAGGAAAAATGTTTTCAATGTTCTTTAAAGTTCTTAATAAAAATATTATACTAATAAACTTACGTTGTTGTGTATTTTCAAAAGTTTCAATATGAAAAAAAAAACTTTTATATTGATTCAATGGATTAATTGCATTTTGATTTTAAAAAAAACATGGATTTATTGCATTTTGGGGAAAAAAATAATCCGTTTTTATAATAAATCTTTGAAAATCAAAACCTGGATTTAAATTTTTTTTGTTATTATGACCTACAAATGCAATGTGAAAGTTTGAAACAGAAAATAGTGGTTTTCATCTTTCTACTTTCTTGGTAAAGAAAACACATTTTTACTCAAATTAATCTAAATGGATTTATTGCGTTTTGGAACCAAACTCTTCATATATATATATATATATATATATATATAGTACTATTTAAGTACTAAAATTACTACAACTAAAATTAAAATAAATTAAATCTAAAAAAAAACAAAAATGACAAACGTACATACAATTACTAAACTTAAAATGAAAAATATACAAATAAAAGTTAATAATAGTATATATAATAGTATATAAATGACATGTTTGCACATATTTGTTGTCTTATTTGTTGACAAATTAATTATATTAAGTAAGGAATATAATAGTGTCCAAAACTCTTTATGCTGGGTTTGTGTACGTTTTGACCATTTCATTTCCTATTTGGAAAATACGTGAAAGAAAAAGACAACTTGAAGTAACTTTATTTTAAGGTGACGTACTTATAAATCACTACATGTATTTACTATATTAATATGCATAATTACAAGTAACTAACCCTAACCCTAACCACAACATTATATGTGAATAAAAGCCTAAATTAAATCTTTTCATATAAAGCGATCGAGTCGCTTCAGAAAATTTGGACTAACCTCCTCTGGACTAAAGTCTTAAGGGTTTGAAACAACATGAGGGTGGGTAATTGATGACAATTTTTGGGTGAACTCACCCTTTAACAAAGGGTGTAATCCCTTTCATCCGATTGGTCAGAAAGTCTTTTCCTTTCTCGTTATTCCTTTTCAAATAGGAAATGAAATAGTCAAAATGTACACAAACCTTGCTGGAGTTGTCTATTCTGTTTTTATATATATATTAAAATATTTTATTCATTATTAGGCTGAATAAGACATTTATCTTGTTACATTGTAACATCAATGTCTCCCTGTGCAGATGTGATCTGTAAAGATCATTTCAACTGGTGTTATCTGGTGCCTCAGCACGGCGTTTGCAACCACAAGTTCTATGGGAAGCAATGCTGCAAGTCCTGCTCACACACAAACCCGTGAGAACTTCTGCTCTAGACGTTTGACCGTGACCTTCTGAGCCCTCGCAGGAGCAGAGTGATGCCCGCTCTAGCGCTGTGTTTAACATGTACTGAACAAAGACATTATTAAGGACTCAAAGTGGCTTGTTTGTCTGGGACTTCTGTGGAGAATGACACGGCCTGCTGATGACGGCGAGACTGCAAGTGTGTCTGCAGGAAATGACATCATTGACAAAGCCCTATGGAGGGGATACCGTGTCAGTGAGGGTGTGAGGACTCCTTTCATTGTGTTTCACACAACTTCAAATGATCAGGAACAAAAAATATCAGAATGCTTTGCGTCCAGATATAGACTAGACTGATTCCGTGTGGCAAAATACATTGACATGTGTTATGTTTTTTCATGAACATGCTTCATAATCTCATGTGAAACACATAAACTGTCTTAATGCGTTTTATGGTGGCAGCAGAAAGAATATGGCGTCATGTAGTAGAGCTACATTCATTTTTGGTGCTATATGTTGATATTAATGGCAGCCGAACCGCTGATACATAACAGAGGTTTTAAAATAACATGACAATGAATTAGTGCTTTTGTATGATTGATATTAATTTCTTATTTATTAACAATACTGAAATATACCAGAATGATATTCTGCTGTAATATTGTCTTATATTGCTTTTATTTTCCTGTTTAACTTTGGGTATAGTTGCACATTGGTATTTTTGTATGTTTTATCGTGCTTTCACAGTACTGTTTCGTATTTGGGGTTTATTATTTTCGAGGAAAACAAAATGCAATTAAACTAATGGGCATGAATATAATGAACTGTAAGAAGTGTCGCATTTAACGAAGTCAGCTCTCTTCGTGGGATGTTTTTAGCAACCACACGACTGCCAAGAACTCTAAATCTGTCTTTGGTCTGATGAAGAGAAATGCACATGAAAGGCTCCGGCATTTCACATATGGGTTTTTGCATCGCACAAATTACTTCCATCATTAACAATATTTGCATTTGTTGTACAACAGCAGTAGATGAATGTAATCGCTCATCCACAATGAATGTTATTCTGAAGAGTGGACGGAGGATTTGTTATAAATGGCAGTCCTTATTAAACGTGGCACGTGTCATATTGCCATCACATTAGAGGCTGTGTTGTCTTTCTCTCTTGGCCGTAGGAAGCAGATATGTAGATCGCTCATGATCCGGCTTCGCTAACGCTGAGTCAGAGCTTTTTCTTGTTCTTCATATGCACTATTGTTTCCAGATGGAGTCAGACGAGGCCACTGGAGCGCGTTCAGGAACTAATATGACTTGTGAGCTTTTCACCGACTTGTAACGCACAGCTCTGTGAAGACTTTAGCAGAAAACACATACATCACTTCATGTTATTAATGTCTCAAGACATTCGAACCATGTTTTAGTCTTTTGAAAGTTTAGATGAATGTCCAGAATATGGAACTGCTGAGGCAAGAACAACTGCTGATATCGCTCAAGAGCAGGGTTAGTGATCGGCACAAACCATTAACACTACCTATTGGACCTATAAAACCACAGCGTTTGTGCTACAGACATGAGGTGTGCTGTTACTTTTTAAAGCATTCTGAATTATTAAAGTGGTGATGATGGAAAGTCTTTGCAAAAAACATCTCAGTTTACTTAAAGTGTTGTTAAAGCTGCAGTCCGTAGCTTTTTTTGGGTTCAAAATTATCCAACATACATATTTGAGAAAATACATAACCAGCCAGTGTTCAAAACTCTCTGCTTGCCTTAGCTCGATTCAAAGCGGTAAGCTTGTAATAATGTTTTTAACTCCAGTGGTACTGGTGAATTTCCGCGGGAGATTCGAGCATGTCTTTGCGTCATCACGTCACATCTGTACACACACATCTGTACACATAAAGAAGGAGTATAAGCTATATTGCGTGTGAGGATGTTGGAGGTGGAGATTTATAGCCTTTTCTCACAGCACTTGATATAATTAAACTTATCAATTTGATGGCGGATCCAGAAAGGTTCAAATGACAATCACCAGTGACAACAGATTCACCCGCTGTAAAATGCAAAAGACTTCGTTCGGACTTCGGAGTGGCTACAGAAAAAAAGAGACTGCAACCGGCCCATGCGAAAACAAGGATACATATCGGAAGGACATTACATGTAGTCACGCAATGCTGACGTTGTTAACATTAACAATTTGAGAACAAAGTTTAATTTGCACGGTTTTGCATGATATGATAATTTATAGGCGATTGTTAGATTTAATTAGCGCGATTTACTGCAATGTCAGAACCAGAACAAAGGTGGATGTTTCTTACTAGTTCAGATGACATTTTCCGATGAAAATTATTATGTTGGTCATACTTCCAAAAAGAATAATCTGTGATTCTGAATAGTATCCACACCGGCGTGGTGACTGACAGCCGCACACTCTCCTCAAACATTGTGTTCATCCGTGCTGTGTCGTGTCGAGGGTGTTGAAGTGCAACTCAAGTAAAGTTGATAATTCCGCGAATGACTGCAATTGCAGATTTCGAACAGAGATGGCGACAAAGAGGAAAAACGCCGGACTGCAGCTTTAAATAAGTACAATTTAACCACAAGGAACAACTTTCATGATTCCTGTTCAGAAAACGTTCCCTGCTTTTTGAATACACATACTGTGTAGCAGGATAGCATGCTCATTTCCAAAAAATCAAGCACTCAAAACCCCTTATCTCAGTAGTCAGGGGGTCTTAATTATTGACAGGATCGCTGAAAAAAAGTACAGTACTTATCTGACCGTCATCAATTTATTGCAGTAAATGAAGAGGTTTCATATCGATCACAAGTTCAGTATGGAGTACCACATGGCTCAGAACTAGGACCGTTGCTTTTCCTACTATGCATGCTACGCTTGGGGGATATCATTAGTAAACATGGTGTTAGTTTTCACTGTTATGCTGATGATACTCAGCTCTATATTTCTTTGTGGTCTGATGAAACATACCAATTCACAAAACTAACGGAATGCATAGTTGATATAACAATTTGATGACTAGTAATTTCCTACTACTAAATTCTGATAAACAAGGTTTTATTATTGGAACAAAAACATCTGCATGTAATAACCTAGTATACTCTCCTCAACTCTTGATGGCTGCTCTTTCAAGTCTTCCTCGTCCGTTAGGAGGGGGTGGTGATTTTTGATAGCAGTCTTTCATTTGAAATCCACATTTCCAACATTTGGAAAATTATATTTTTCTAACTTACAAATATATCTAAATTATGACGTGTGCTTTCATTGACAAATGCGGAACAGTTAGCTAATGCGTTGCGTTACGTTACGTTCTATGGTTACGTCAGGCAAGTGCTCGGCTGCTGCGCGCGCTGATCGAAAATGAAGCGGTCTAAACCCTCTGGTGCACAGGGACGAAAACGGAGAAAGCAACAAGATAAAAAGAAAGCCCAGTATAGAGGTAAGTCTTCTCATCTCATCCATTAAGGTGTCAAATGTTCTGGCCATCGGGACAACCGGGAGATTCCCGCGGGCCCGACGTGCTTTTTGGGCCGATACATACATCTCATACTTTTATTTTTCTATTTTTGTCTTAACGGCCCATAAAACTCGTACATCGGTGGCCCATTCGTTTTGTTTTGTTTTGCTTAATTGGCGGCGCTGGGTTACTTCCAAATATATAACTTACTTTCAAGTATAGAAATTTGTACGATACTCATGAAAGTTTCCTTTATTTTTCTGTGCATTTGTTTTACAATATAGCCTATGGCAATTACTGTCATGGGATTAATATTATATCTATTATTATGTAGTAGTGTAATGAAGACAGACACTGTAATTAAAAGAGGTTTGAATTTTTCTTTTTCAATTTGCACACTGAATATGGGTTGGAGGTTTTAGTTTTGAACTCTCAAAGTGCACCAGATTGATGAATTTAACATTAAAATGCGCAAAATTTTCTTACGGGGTAATACCCCCGAAACCCCCTTAACCTTGTAGCAGCCCAATAGATTGTAATAATAGTAGGCCTAGTGGTGGTAGTAGTTGTAATTTATCTACTAAAAGTTATTTATGGTCAGATAAAATATAGTTGTACAATGCAACTATGATATAAATATCCTTGAACGTTCTTTGTAGCATTTGTATGAACAATTTATTGTTTAAGTTTTTGAGTAACTATAAGAGCATGTTTAGTTTAATAAATACTTATAATTTTTTAAAGGGGGGGGGGGGGGGGGGTGGGGGGGGGTGGGGGGCAAAACTTAATATCGCCTAGGGCAACCAAAGGGTTAGAGCCGGCCCTGTCTGTCAACACTGCATTGGCTCCCTATTAAACATTTTACATGCATACATTTTAAAATCTTGCCAATAACTTATAAAGCCCTTAATGGTTTAGCTCCTCAGCACTTGAGCGTGTTCTTATAGCATTATAGTCCTTCTCACCCACCGTGATTTAAAAATTCTGTCCGGTTGATAATACCTACAATATCAGAATCGACTGTGGGCATTAGATCCTCTTCCTATTTAGCCCACAGGCAGACACACTCTGTCCGTTTTAAGCTAGATTAATAACCCATCTCCTTTACCTGGCATACACAACACACTTTTACATTTCAATAATTTCAAATCCCTTAAAGGATTGTTAGGCTGCATAAATTAGGTCAATCGGAACCAGGAACACTTCCCACAACATTCAATGTACGTGCTACATCGTAAGAGGAATGGCATCTACGCTAACATTAGTCTGTCTTTATCATTCTTATCCTGAGGTTACCGCAGTCAGACGGATCCGGTCCGTATCCAGACCAGATGGTGAATGTGCATCCAGAGACAACCACAACAGCCCTGAATGTCAGCGGAGACCATGACAAGATGATCCCTAGAAACAGACCATCTGCGAAGACCTTGTTGACTGGAAACCATGAGAACCAGACGTCCTCTGAACCTATGGCTAGCTTCAACTTCTCCTCCCTCCGTTTGCCCGCATGATGTATCACAATCCTCAAACATAAGGAACTGGATGAAATATTCTGAATGATATCAATAAACAATCTGACTTGTCATGCAGCCTGGAATTAAAGCACACCATGCTCGTTTGTCTGGCCAGAGGAGAACTGGTCCACCGACTGAGCCTGATTTCTCCCAAGGTTTTTTGGGTTACTTGCCACTATCACCTTTTGGCTTTCTTAGTTGTGGACACTTAATATTCAGCAATATTATTGACTTAAATGCGCTGACACTATTGGATGAGAACTGAAATGAGCTGGATGATGACATCACT